CCCCTCTGCCACAACCTCCGCTAGCTCCCACGGCACCCCTCACTCCGGCCCAGGGCACCCCATCAATGGACGAGCTCATCCAGCAGAGCCAGTGGAGTCTTCAGCAGCAGGAGCAGCACCTGCTGGCCCTGCGTCAGGTACAGCTGTTTCTTGGGCTAGTGACCATGGGGTCACCTTCCAGTAGGACTGTGGAACATTCACAGGTGTTGCTAGGTGGACTTGTGGATGCCACCACCTGGTGACTTGGTGCCTATCAGGCTGAGTGAGTAGGGAGGGACCTCATTGGCCAATCTGTTAGGCTGATCCTATTGCCAAGTTCTCTAGGGAGGAGAATCAGAAATGAAAGGAGTGATATGAGGACCTGGGTACTAGCCCCACTTGGTGTTTCCTTGCTTGTCCTTGTCACACACCAAGCATGTGTGTTTGCTACCCATCATAGACTGGACACTAGAACTGGCCTCTTAGTCTTAACTGGCTTGATGGCCCATACTTAGCATTTGTGGTTTGGGTTCTGGTTTGGTTTGCTTTGCTTTGCTTTTGAGACAGCATCTCCCCAAGCTGTCCTAGAATCACAGTCTTCCTGCCTCAGCCTCCCAAGGACTAGGATCACAGGTGCCTACCACATGTTAGCCCTCATTCCTACCTCCCTCACTTCATTTTCCTGTTAGCTGAGGCCTGTTCTGCCTACTGTGGTGCCTACCGTCACAGGATTTGGCATATGCTAAAGACAGATACCAGTGTGTCTGCTAGAGCCCCTGTTGACACCACCTGTCCCTATGGCCTTCCCAGGAGCAAGTGACTGCAGCTGTGGCGCATGCAGTGGAGCAGCAGATGCAGAAGCTGCTGGAAGAGACACAGTTGGACATGAGCGAGTTTGACAACCTGCTACAGCCCATCATTGACACCTGCACTAAGGATGCCATCTCGGTGAGGCTCAGTGTGGGGTGGGGGTGCCGTCACCTGCCTGACCACCCACTCACCCTGGCCTGACTCTCAGGCTGGGAAGAACTGGATGTTCAGCAATGCCAAGTCCCCACCACACTGCGAGCTGATGGCAGGGCACCTGCGCAACCGCATCACTGCCGATGGAGCACATTTCGAGCTGCGGCTGCACCTCATCTATCTGATCAATGATGTGCTGCACCACTGGTGAGTACACGATCCCTCGGGCCATAGTCCACACCTGTAATTACGGGTCTCCCTCCCAGTTCACCAGACCACCCCTGCCACACACACACACTGTCCACTGCATCCCCTCCCAGGACAGTGTCTGGCACCTCAGAAGGCAGGCCTTGGGTTCTGCTGCCTCCTTTCTACTTCCGCAGCCATCATGTGTCTGCTTTAGGCTGCTGTCCTCCCTCCCTACCACTGCTCCTCACAGCCAGACACATGGCTACTACACTGTGTGGACCCTGCCTCACCTCTGTTCAGATATATCCTGGGGGCTGCTTTTGATGACTCTCTGGCTATCAGACTTCTCCTTTGTGCTATGGCTCCAGCCTCTTAGGGCCTGGGAGGTGTGTCTCTGCATGGCTACCGGGTGAAGTTGATGGAGGAAACCAGAACCCAGAACTCTGGCCAGAGGCAGGTGCAGGAGTTCCATGCTAGTATTACATGCTGACAGTCAGCTAAGCTGACTGCCTCCCTGCCTTTCAGCATGGCCGTGACAACCAGGACACCTGCTAAGTGTGCATGACTCCTAGGAGAGCAGGAGAAGCTGGCCTGCTCCCTGCCTCATCTCCATGTCTGTCCTGCTGGGAAGTGAGCAGTGGCTCTGCTACCTACGCCCTCCTGCACTGCACCTTTTTCTCTCAGTGGCTTGCTGCTGCCTCTGAGGACAGAGCCTCTGCTCAGATGGCCTCTCCCCCACTCCCTGCTATACTCTTCACCTGGACTCACACAGAAGTCTGGCCTGCAATGCTTTTCGTTACCCAGTTCCTGCCAGTCCTTGCTGCCCTGTGACCTCAGCTGTGGGAGCTGAAGCTGCTAGTCTCTGTCTGCATCTTTCCTGGGTCGGCATATGGTTGCTGAGCCACTGTCACACAAGAGGCCTGGATTCGCCATACTGCACAGCTGGAGGGGCCTTCCTGGGCTGTTTCTTCCTCTTTGTCCCCTCTCAGTGGCACGGGGCACAAAACCCAGGGTCTTGGCACATGGCATGCAAATGCTGTGCCCGGCCGGGGCTGACCATAACCTTTGTGGGTGGTTAGGCTCCAAGAAGCCTCCTCAGTGGCCCTATGGGGCTGGGGAATCCCTGCTGAGCGGGTTGTTGAACCTGCTTAGGCACAGTGGTAACTAGGTCCTGACCACAGCAGCCCCACTGCACCCTTTGCACATATACAAGCACTCTGGTGGGCCCTTCTGATAGTGAAGGCCATGTTCTGAATAGCCCTGGGGTGCACGCTCGCTTGTCTCCCAAGACAAGGCACCTGCATTGTAGGTGGTACTGTGTGGTTGGGGGCTTTCCCGAGGAGAGGGGGCTGTGGCTGCAGCCGCATGGTAACGGGCGCGTGGCCGGGTCCCGCCCCAGGGCCCTGACGCGCGGAAGGTCTCTCCCTCACAGCCAGCGCAAGCAGGCCCGGGAGCTGCTGGCTGCCCTGCAGAAGGTGGTGGTGCCTATCTACTGCACTAGCTTCCTGGCTGTGGAGGAGGATAAGCAGCAGAAGATTGCCCGGGTATGAGGCTGCTAGGGCTGGGTGGGTGGGTGAGCATCTGGGCTGAGTGGCATGGCCTCTGCCTCACGAGTCTTCCTCTGCACCAGCTCCTACAGCTCTGGGAGAAGAATGGCTACTTTGATGACTCCATCATTCAGCAGCTACAGAGCCCCGCCCTGGGACTTGGTCAGTACCAGGTGAGCGCCACACAGCAGGGGCTACCCATCACTACAAAGTCTTAAACTGTGGATGTTTTCATCACTGAATCTGGCTGCACCTTTTAGCTATTGGGTCCCAGAGTGGTATCTTGAATGGTGGTGTTTTCTCCACCAGGCTACTCTCATCAACGAGTACTCCTCAGTGGTGCAGCCTGTGCAGCTGGCTTTCCAGCAGCAAATCCAGAGCCTCAAGACACAGCATGAAGAGTTTGTCAGCAGCCTGGCCCAGCAGCAGCAGCAGCAGCCACAGCCACAGCCACAGATTCAGCTGCCTCAGATGGAAGCAGAAGTGAAGGCCACACCCCCACCAGCAGCACCTCCCCCAACCCCAGCACCTGCTCCCACCATCCCACCAACTACCCAGCCAGGTATGCAGTTCCCTCCACCTCTTACAACTGAATGCCTTGGCCAGACAATGGTGGCACATGTCTTTAATCCCAGCACTTAGGAGGCAGAGGCAGGCAGATCTCTATGAGTTTGAGGCCAGCCTGGTCCAGAGAGTGAGTTCCACGATAGGTTCCAAAGTTACAGAGAAGCCCTGTCTGGGGGGGGGGGGGGGGTATACTACACCTCAGGTGGTTGCTTGCTTTAACAAAAGCAGCAGAGTAAGAGTCTCCTCAGTAGATGGTTGTTTCATCTTTAATGTACAAATATGTTACATAATAACCTNGGGGGGGGGGGGGGGGGGGGGGGGGGGGGGGGGGGGGGACACGGACATGGACAATGACGACGACTAAACCAAAAAAACAAACCTGAATGCCCTAAACGTTATTTATTCCCCTGGTCCCCTGGCCATCTGCTCCACAGCCTGCCCACTGCTGGGCCAAGAGTAATCTGCTTATGTGCCCAGACTAGGCCAGCAGTGTCTGCTCAGCATGGCCCCCAGAGTAGAAAAGAGGAGGCAAGCTAGTGTATTAATCCACACTTGGTACACTGTTCAAGGTGTGGTCCAGGGCTGGGTGAGCTCAGCACGTGTGTAGCCCAATCCTAAACACACAACAACACACGTCTGATCTCGTGTTTGTAGTGTATGTGTGTAAGGACCACTTACGAAGAAACTTGGGTAAGGTCTGAAATGAGTACTCAGGAAGCTGAGGCAAGAAGATTTTAAGTTTTAGACCAGCGAGTACTTGCCATGCAATCACAAGGGCCTCATTTTAAAAGTCAGGTGTAAGATGGGCAATCAAGGTGCACGCCTTTAATCCCAACATTCGGGAGGCAGAGGCAGGCGGATCTCTGTGAGTTTGAGGCCAGCCTGGTCTACAGAGCTAGTTCCAGGACAGATACCAAAGCTACAGAGAAACCTTGTCTCAGGGAAGAAAAAAAATACAAAAACAAAAAAACAGAGAGAAAGCTGGGTAGAGTAGTGTGTGTGTCAGCTCAGTGCTGGGAAGGCAGAGACAGGCAGATTCCTGGAGTTCAGTTCTGTCTCCAAAACTGAGGTAGAGACCAGTAAGGCGACTCAGTGGGTAGAAGCACTTGCAGGCATCTGATGACTTCAGTTTGATCCCTAGGATCCACAGGATGGCAGCTGCTGCCAAGAGTTGCCCTCTAACTACCATGAGATGAGTTCACTAAAAATACTTTGAGCTGGGCAGTAGTGGTGCCTATCTTTAATCCCAGCACTCGGGGTAGGGGCAGGTGGATCTCTGAGTTCCAGGACAGCCAAGGCTACACAGAGAAACTGAGAAATCCTTGGGGGGATGTGGAGGGATATGACAACTTGTAGACGTGACATGTCGTGAGCATCGAGAATGTCCACGCTTGTATCCCTAGAGGACTGTGGTGGTGACATTGGCAGCAGTGGCTTTCAGTGACTTGAGGAACACAATTCAGTCCTGTCCTGGGTTGGGTTGGGGGTGTAGGCTCAACAGTCCTTCCTCCTACTGACTGGCCACTCCTAACTGACTGTCACCTGTGTTTAGAAGACAACAAGCCTCCCATCCAGATGCCTGGTTCTTCAGAGTACGATGCCTCGGCAGGTGTTCAGGATCCTGCAGCTGCTGGCCCTCGGGGTCCTGGCCCTCATGAGCAGATCCCGCCGAACAAGCCCCCTTGGTTTGATCAGCCTCACCCTGTTGCTCCTTGGGGTCAACAGCAGGTACGTCATCTGTTGAGACGTGTGTGACAGTTAAAGGCCTGCTCTGTGTGCTCCTAGTAGGGTCCCGTGGGGCAGTAGGCAGGGGGCGGCCATAACAGCCCAGGGACAGTGGACCCTGAGTAGACGCCCCGTACCACCATTGTTTGGGCCACTCAGGGTCCTCTTTGGCCTGTCCTTACTAGTGCAGCTTTTAGGTCTATCAGGAAGGATAGAAGGAAGATCAGAAGTGGTGAGCTTCCCCAGAGGCTGCAGGTGCTGCCTGCAGTGCCAGGACTCTGGGTGACTCAGAACAGAGCAGAGATTACATGGGACATGACCAGCCCCGTAATTTGCTAGGTGAGATTGACTGGAGCGGCTAGCGTACTTTCCCATCAATGGGACATGGCCATGCCACTGTAGAGAACACTTACGGGTGCCAGGGATGTGGCTCTGGGCTGAGAACTACAGGTCTCAGATCTGAGCCTCACCCCTCACCTTCAGGTTTACTTGACAAGAGATGCACATCCCTGTCAACAGTACCCACGTCCCAGTGTGGGCTGTGAGCCTGCTGGGTGGGCACATGGGAACCTTTGAGGGAGGTATGTGACAGGCTTTGCGTAGGCTCAGTATGATCTGTGGGATGGAGGGCTGGTCCACTGAGGCTTACCAGCCAGTATGGCAGTCCACCACCAAATCTGGAGGTTACAGGCGTTAGCAGCCCATGTAGATGGCAAGGTACTGGATTCTATCCCTAGAAGTGGGGGATAGAACCAGGCTTGTAATTGCAGTCTTTGGAAGGCTGAGGCAGGAGGATTGAGTTCCAAGCTATCCTGGAACTGGAGTGGAGCGCCACCCATACCCCTCTTCCCCCAGTAAAAAAGACCTTCTCATCCTGCACCAGGCAGTGGCGGCACACGCCTCTGTGAGTTCCAGGACAGGCTCCTAAGCTAGCTACACAGAGAAACCCTGTCTCAAAAGAAAAAGAAATTATTCCTGCTATTGGATTCGTCTCAAAACAGAAAGAAAAAAGAAAACAAAACAAAAAGAAATTATTCCTGCTATTTGACAATTCAGCCTTCTGCTTCTCTTGGAAGCCAGAGGAGAGAGCACCCTACTTACCTGGCATGGATCGTGTAGCTTGCTGCCAAGCCTTGGGAGTGCTGGGGGGGACCTGTTGTGGTCTCTACTGTACCAACCTAAGAAAGGCAGCTGTTGTCCTGGAGAAAGAAACAAGGACAGGTGTCTGGGCTGACCTCAGGCAGTGTTCTGGATGAGAGGGTCTCTTGCTATAGAGTGGGGTGGTTTAAGGCACATGGCCCAATTTGTTGGTATGTTTTGTGGCGTGGTACAGGATATACCCCTGATGTGTCCCACTAGGGATCTGGTGCCTGTTGGGCCTGAGGGAGACACATTTGGTCCTGCTTGCTTTAGATGTGAGGTTGCAGCCCCAGTGGGGACCTAGGAGAGAGAGATAACTACAGACCTTGATCTCATGTCTGTGTTTTGCAGCCTCCGGAGCAGCCTCCATACCCACACCACCAAGGTGGACCACCTCACTGCCCACCCTGGAACAACAGCCATGAGGGCATGTGGGGCGAGCAGCGTGGGGACCCTGGCTGGAATGGGCAACGAGATGCTCCCTGGAACAACCAGCCAGATCCCAATTGGAATAACCAGTTTGAAGGACCATGGAACAATCAGCATGAGCCACCACCCTGGGGTGGTGCCCAGCGTGAGCCACCTTTCCGGATGCAGCGGCCTCCCCACTTCCGTGGGCCCTTCCCACCCCACCAGCAGCACCCACAGTTCAACCAGCCTCCACACCCCCACAACTTCAACCGCTTCCCACCCCGCTTCATGCAGGATGACTTCCCCCCTCGTCACCCTTTTGAGCGGCCACCCTACCCTCATCGCTTCGACTATCCCCAAGGAGACTTTCCTGCAGGTGAGTGGGTAGGGCAATGTAAGGAAGGCCTGTTGGGGTGTCCCAGGTATGCCTGGCTGTCAGTATTGTGGAAGTGACAGGTATAGGATGCGTATGGAATGGGCAGACAAGGGTGGCCTCCACCCTGCACCCACACGCACAGGCCAGTTGGACTTTTCTGTCTGTACTTCCAGCACCGTATTCCTGCTCTTGCCTTGCTGTCCTTCCTGGCTGTTCGCCCATCTGAAGCTGTACCTGTGTCTTCTTGTTTCTTGTGGTTGCTATGTCAGCCTGAGCTGGACACAGAAGGCATAGACAAGAGAGTGTGCCTCAGTGGTAGAAATCCACACCCTACTCAGGGTCCTCAGGGCTGGCCTCAGGAAGGCTTCCCTCTGCATGTGTCCTCCCTGTTCTCTTCAGAGGACCTCAGGCAGTTGGAGTGGAGTCCAGCAGAGTAGCCATAACGTTACGCTTCAAGGGCAGCTGCTGGCTCAGCTGTCTTGAGTCCTGGCAGAGAAAGACCTCAGCACATCCCCAGGGAGGAGGTGGAAGTTCAGCTTGCTGCCCCTGGGTGCAGTGGTGTGGTCCTTCAGTCTTGTCACTTGAATCCCCTTAGTTGCACCCACATCTGTGAGAGTTCTAGGCCTCCTTATTGGCCTTCTCACTCCACTTGGCTACAGAGCAAGCTGGAGACAATGTTTTGTTTTGCAGAGATGGGACCTCCTCACCACCACCCTGGCCACCGCATGCCACACCCTGGGATCAATGAGCATCCGCCCTGGGCCGGGCCCCAGCACCCTGACTTTGGCCCTCCTCCCCACGGCTTCAATGGCCAGCCCCCCCACATGCGACGACAAGGCCCACCTCACATCAACCATGATGACCCCAGCCTGGTCCCCAATGTACCCTACTTCGATCTTCCAGCGGGGTTAATGGCTCCCCTTGTGAAGGTGATACTGGACAGGGTGGTAGGTGGTAGTGTATGGTGAAAGGAAGGGCGTGCTGATGTTGGGCTGGGTTCCTGCCTTGCCGCTGTCTTCTACTGGGTGACCAGGGAGGACTCTGCAGGGCACAGGCAATAGCATGTTCTCCTACAGCTGGAGGACCACGAGTACAAGCCTCTGGACCCCAAAGACATCCGCCTGCCACCCCCTATGCCACCCAGCGAGAGGCTGCTCGCAGCTGTGGAAGCCTTCTATAGCCCACCCTCCCATGACAGGCCCAGGAACAGGTAGGGAGGCTGGGCCTCAGGCCTGGTTGAGCCCCTGCCCTCCTAGTCCAACTTGCAGGTGAGGAGCTGGTTCCTCCAGACATTCTGTGCATTGGTCTCGGATGCTGGGCATGGAGTACAGGCGTTGTGCTGTCCAATGTTGGCCCAGCAGCCATTAATTTAAGAACAGCAAGTTTATGAGGTCCCCTGGGATTCGGCTGCCTACCAGGTCCTTCCAGTGGGAAGGAGGTCTAAACACATAGCAGAGTCCTAGCTGCCTCCTGGTTAGCTTCCTCCCTGGCCATTATGGCCCTTGGAGGCCATCCCAGGTCTCTCATGGGAGCCTTGTCTTACTTACAGTGAGGGCTGGGAGCAGAACGGCCTCTATGAGTTCTTCCGAGCCAAGATGCGGGCAAGGCGGCGCAAGGGCCAGGAGAAAAGGAACAGGTGATCTGGGTGGGTGTCATGGTGTGTGTCATGCCGTGGTGTGTGGTGCCCTAACTGGCCATCCTCACTATGGCATTTCTCCTGCAGCGGCCCCTCCAGATCACGCAGCAGGTCCAAGAGCCGAGGCCGTTCATCATCTCGCTCCAGCTCACGCTCTTCGAAGTCTTCGCGCTCCTCCTCACGCTCACGATCCCGCTCCCGCTCCCGCTCCTCCTCACGCTCCAGGTCCAGGTAGGCATGTGGGGGCATTGAGAAGCCCATGTACACTGCTCCTACCAGCCCTCCATTGTCCCACTGTCCCCACAGAAGTCGCAGCCGGTCACGCTCTTCCAGAAGCCGCTCACGCTCCAGGTCCAGATCCAGGTCCAAGTCATACTCTCCAGGGAGGCGGCGACGCTCCAGGTCCAGGAGCCCCACCCCACCGTAAGCCGTTGGTGTGGGGTATTCAGAGGCACCCCTATTGCTAAAGGGCAGGTGGCATCACTTAGACCAACTGGGCCAGCCCACGGGCCCTTTCCTACCATGCTTAAATGGCTGCTCTAGGTGCTCTGAGTCCCGTTTATAGAGTTTATCAGCTTACCACATGGCTCTCTTCATTCCAGCTCCGCAGCTGGTCTAGGTTCTAATTCAGCACCTCCCATACCGGACTCAAGGCTTGGAGAAGAGAACAAAGGCCATCAGATGCTGGTGAAGATGGGTGAGTACCTGGGTCAGTGCCAGCTTCCTGCATGGGACCCTGCTGGGGGTTCAGTGGTCACACACAGCCTTGCCATGTGCACCTTCTTTGCTCCCTCAAGGTTGGAGCGGATCTGGTGGCCTTGGTGCAAAGGAGCAGGGCATCCAGGACCCCATTAAGGGCGGCGATGTCCGGGATAAGTGGGACCAGTACAAGGGCGTGGGCGTGGCCCTGGATGACCCTTATGAGAATTACCGCCGCAACAAGAGCTATTCCTTCATCGCCCGCATGAAGGCCCGCGATGAGTGTGAGTAATGGTGTGGGTGGGCAGGGCGGGCATAGTCCTGCTGGAGAGGTGGAGTGACGGCCCTGTTCTCACACAGTCTCCACGTTTGGGGCGAGAAAGGAAGAGAAGGAAGATTAACACAGGCCTCGGGTGGCGCTGCGCAGTGTGGAAGGGGCACCAGCTTGGCTTGCCCGTGTCCTGGAGGAGGTGCTGCAGATACCTCAGCCTCTCAGTGCCAGGATAGCAAAGCTCAAAACCAAGACCACCCCACCCCCACCCCCAGTGATACACAGCCCAGAGCCAGGTAGTGAGACCCGCACTGCACCCGCAGCTGGGAAAGGTCACAAGGAATTTCATTTTGGTTCCACCTGGTTTTGTGTTAGAAAAGAGCAAAGGCTGACTCCTCATGTGTGGGGTCGGGAACCCTACTCCTCCCTTCGTCGTTTAGCTGCATTTTATCCCTGTCCTCAAATGTTAGCTGTTTGCTATCAGCTGGACACAGCTTCCGAGGAGACGGGGTCAGGAAAAGATGGCCTCCAGAGTCCCTCCACCCAGCACAGCCTTGGCCTGCAGCTCCCGTCTGGGGAGCCCAACACCAGCGAGGAGCACCCCAGAGCATGGGTGCCATGAAGTGCGGGACACCAGCCAGGCAGCATTTCCTGTGCTGTTTGATTTGTGTGCCCCAGCCATTCCCAGAGGGGGAGGGAGGAGGCCCGGGCGCTCCTGGGGCTGCAGCAGCCTGGTGCCAGTTGTTTGTACAGACTTTTGAAATGTTCTTTTCAATAAAATGCAGAGCCCTATACAACTTCTCAGCACCACATAAGACACTTGATTTTTGTTTTAGATTTCCCATAGCTGTGACATGTGCAGACGTGTCTGACTCGGGACAAACAAGCAGACACATGTGCTGTTAACCACTGATTGTGGATTTTACTGTTTTGCCTTCAAATAAAGCCTTTTGTAAAAGATCAGTTTGTCCACCTGTGGGTGAGATATGCACACGGGCATTGTGCAGGCTGCTCCGAAGTGGATGCCAGCTGTGTTGGACACTATGCTCAGAAGACCTGTCTCAGCTCCTGGCGTGGAATATTCCCCAAGGGGCAGCTGCTTCTCTCTTGGATGATCCAGACATCTGGCATGTGCAGTCTGCCGCATTGACTTGTGGCTCCTTTCTGCTTTGAGTGCCTGTGGCAGGTCCTCAGCTGTCCTTATGACGTACCCATAGAGCCACAAGCTGGGCAAGTGGAGGCTTAGAATCCATGTATGGTTGTTACTGAGCTGAGATTAAGCAGGAGATCCCCAGCCTTACCTGCCCCCACATGAATGAGATGGATAGAGGTACCCAGGTAAGCCTCACCTACTGGGACTTGAAGTGAAGCTCCTCCTTTGCCTCCTGAAGGGCAGCCTCCATGGTCAAGGGTGCAGGCCTGTGACACCTAATGTACTGTAGGACACAGAATGGTAAATAAAATATGGCTGGGCCCTTAGCCTGGGAGGCGGACTGCCCCAAGGTGCAACATTCAAGATGTTCTAGAGTGAAGAGCCACGCTGGGTTCTGGGTGACGTGGTCAGGCTGGGAAGTAGCAGTCTGAGGACTCACTGTGAGCTGGGTGTGGTGGTGGCACACACCTGTAATCCTAGTATTTGGGAGGCCAGGGTGGGGGAATGTAAAGTTCTAGGTCAAGCCTGGGCTATACAGCAAGACCCATCAAAAATAATGTGGAGCCTACAAGATAGCTAAGTGGGGTAAAGGTACTTCCTGATAATCTGACCTCAATCCCCAGGACCCACATGGACGGAGACTCCTGTCAGTTGTCCTCTGAATGAAAGGAGCTGGGTGGGTATGGTGGTGTATGCCTGCCATCACAGCACTTTGGAGCGAGGATGAGGCAGAAGGCTTGTCATTTACCTGAGGTCAGCCTAGAGACAGACCCTGGATCCAGAATGAAAGCTGAGCAGATGGCTCTGGCTGGAAGCACTGGCTGCTTTTTGCAGAGGACCTGGGTTTGGTTCCCAGCACCCACACAGATTCACAACTGCCTGTAATTCTACCTCTAGGGGATTTAATGTCCTCTTCTGAGATCCTAAGGCACATGTATACATATACATATATGCAGCAAAATGCATTTAAAAAGAAGAGGGTCAGCTGAGTGGTGGCACACACCTTTAATCCCAACTCAAAAGACAGAGGTAGGTGGATCTCGAGTTCAAGGCCAGCCTGGTTTACAGAGTGAGTTCCAGAACATCCAGAGCTACAAAAAGAAACCCATCATTAAAAAGGGAAGGAAAATCAAAATCCCAGCAAATTCTTCATAGACCTTGAAAGAACAACACTCAACTTTGTATGGAAAAGCAAAAAGCCCAAGATAGCCAAAAACAATCTTGTACAATAAAAGACATTCTGGAGGCATCACAACCCTGACTTCAAACTCTACTACAAAGCTACAGTACTGAAAACAGCCCAGTATTGGCATAAGAACAGACAGGAGGACCAATGGAACCGAAGAGAAGACCCAGATATTAATCCACACATCTTCAAACACCTGATTTTTGACAAGGAAGCAAAAAATATCAAAAAGGAAAGCATATTTAACAAGTGCTGGCATAATTGGATTTCAACATGCAGAAGAATGGAAATAGACCCATATCTATCACCATGCACAAAACTCAAGTCCAAATAGATCAAAGACCTCAACAGAAAGTCAGCCACACTGAACCTTATAGAAGAGAAAGTACACTTGAACACATTGGCACAGGGAACCACTTCCTAAATAGAACCCCAGCAGCACAGACATTGAGAGAAACAATTAATAAATGGGACCTCCTGAAACTGAAAAGCTTCTGTAAAGCAAAGGACATGGTCAACAAGACAAAACGACAGCCTACAGAATGGGAAAAGATCTTCACTAACCTCACATCAGACAGAAGTCTGATCTCCAAAATATACAAAGAACTCAAGAAATTGGACACCAAAAGAACACATAATCCAATAAAAAAAAAAAAAAGGAGTATAAACCTAAACAGAGAACTCTCAACAGAGGAATCTAGAATGGCTGAAAGACACTTAAGGAAATGTTTAATATCCTCAGTCATCAAAGAAATGCAAATCAAAACAACTCTGAGATTCCATCTTACACCTGAAAGAATGGCCAAGATCAAAAACACTAATGACAACTTATGCTGGAGAGGTTGTGGGGAAAAGGGAACAATTCTACATTGATGGTGGGAATGCAAGCTGGTACAAACCCTTTGAATATCAATGTGGAGATTTCTCAGAAAATTAGGAAACAACCTTCCTCAAGACCCAAAAATACCACTTTTGGGTATATATCCAAAGGATGCTCAATTGTGCCACAAGGACATGTGCTCAGCTATGTTCATAGCAGCTTTGTTTGTCATAGCCAGAACCTGGAAACAACCTAAATGCCCCTCGACTGAAGAATGGATAAGGAAAACATGGTACATTTACACAATGGAGTACTACACAGCAGAAAAAAATAACGACAGCTTGAATTTTGCAGGAAAATGGATGGAACTAGAAAACATTATTTTGAGAGAGGTAATCCAGACACATGAAGACAATTATCACATGTACTCACTCATAGGTGGTTTTTAAACATAAAGAAAGCCAGCCTACAAACCACAATCCCAGAGAACCTAGAAAACAATGAGGACCCTAAGAGAGACATAGATATAATCTACATGGGAAGTAGAAAGTATAAAAAGATAAGATCTCCTAAGTAAATTGGGAGCATGGGGACCTTGGGGAAGGGTTGAAGGAAAGGGGAGAGGCAGTGAGGGGAGCTGAGAAAAATGTAGAACTCAATAAATATCATGGAAAAAATAATTGAAAAAAGGAAGGAAAGAGTGGGGAGGGTGCTCTCCAGTGTTAGTCCAAGAAACAAGCAGCTGCAGCCTGTTTGGTCTGGAAGGGCACAGTACCCATCCCTAACATGGTGTCCAGAGTGGAGTCCAGCCTGAGGGGACAGGCACCCCAGTCCCATTGCTAGCCCACCCGGGCTATGACCAGTTACCTCTCTGGTTTCCTCCAGGGTGTGGTAGTGAAATGTTTCCCCGTCCAGGGACTGCAGGAGGGACACGTGCAGATGGCGACTGGCCTCGATGAATTGCTGCGTCAGGCTCAGCTGCTGCTTCAACATGTCATTCAGCACCAGCACTGCAGGGCTGTAGGCCGTCAGGGCTGCAACCAGCACAGCCCATGTTGCTCAGTGTCTCTCCAGTGCCACCTGTGCCGCCCACACCTCCTCCCCCTCAGAGTCCAGATTCCTGCAGACCTGCTGTTTTCTGGCCAGTCTGCCCTCACAGCCATGAAGCTCTTCCTGAGTCTCTGTTCTATATTAACCACACACAACAACATACATGAGCTCCACTTAAGGTCAAGAAAAATCTTTAGCTGGGCATGGTGTCACATGTCTGTCATCTCAGCAGAGGCATATGAGGCGCTAGGATCTGGTGCTCCAAGCCAGCTTGGGCTATGTATGCCCAGAAAGCCTCCCACCCCTACCCCCAGTCCACCCTCAAAGACATAAAATGTTGGGCTTTTTGAGTTTTGTTGTTGTTGTTGTTGTTTTTTAAGAGTTGAGGTTTCACTGGGTGTTAGTGGCACTTAATCTTTAATTCCAGCACTCAAGAGACAGAGGCTTGGTGGATCTCAGCAAGTTCGAGACCAGCCTGGTCTATGAAGTGAGTTCCAGAACAGCCTGGGCTACACAGTGAGACCCTGTCTGGTGTGTGTGGGGGGAGGCTTCACTATAAACTCCTGCATTCAAGTGATTCCCCTGCCTCCGCTACCTAAGTAGCTTTGATTACAGGCTTAGGATCGCCAAAGTAGGGACCTTAAAAGAGAACGAAACTGGAGATAGGCAAAAATGACCTAATAGTGGCCGCCTGGCAGGGCTGGGACAGACTCAAGGCTTCTCTGATAGCTGACCACCAGCCCATGACTCCTAGACTCCTGGGGTTGGTTAAACCTAGGTGTCCCTTCACCAAAGACAGAAAGAGGTTCTAGCCACCCTCAGGCTGTTCAACACCACCTTGTCAGCTGCTGCAGCACCCTCCCCCAGGGACTCCCCAAAGTCACCTTTAGCGAGTACTGCCTGTGCTGCAGGAATGGCGGGGCACTGTAGGGAAGGAGCGAGGTCCCAGCTGTCTGTTACCTTCTATAGCGTCCGCACTGACAACGTGACTGGCGATGGGTGCTGGGTCCACGTAGGCGCCTCCGAGGGTGGGGCCAATGGCCGCCATGCTACCAGCTGGCGCAAGACAAAGATGGGCTGCTGAGTGCGGTGCAATGACTCTAGCACAATGACAATGAACTAAGCTGCAGTTGCCCCTCCGTCTCCTGGATTGCTTACTGGTTGATTGGAAACGGGTCTGGACACCGTGGTACCCAGGTTTGCTTTGAGCTTCTGGGCACCAGAAATCTCCTGCCTCATCCTCTTGGCATCCAGAACCACACATGAACAAGCATCTTTGTTTTCGTCTACTTTTCCTGTGTGTGCATGTGCAGACTGATGCTGCCATCAGGAATCCCCCGTGCATGTCCACTTTATTCTGGGCCTTCTGGGGCTGGGATGACAGGTGGCATTTACATTTGGTTTTGGAGTTCTAGGCCTTAATCCTCATGTTTGCAAGACCAGCACCAGGCCACTGAGCATCTTCCCAGTCTGCACTGTGGACTTTAAAAGCTAATTCAGGTTTTCTCCAAAGGCAGGCTGGGCTGTGCCTCAGTTCTCAGAAAGCTCATCCGCCTTCCACAAAGCCCTAAGTCCATCACCCCCTGATGATCATCATCATCCCCATGCCACGAGTGGTGGCACTGGCCTGTCACCTAGCACTCAGAAAGCTGAGGCAGGAGACCAAGCTCACGGTCATCCTCAGCTACTGTCCAATCTGAAGCCAGCCTAGTTTAAAGGAGACCCTTGTCTCAAAAACACAAACAACCCTGAAAGGCATATGTGGAACGAGGGGGCTTAGTGCCTTCCAATGGCCTCCATTGACCGCCAATGCTCTTTCCCCACTGAAGAACATCTAGCCCCCCCCCCCACTGCGACAACAAGGTCAAGCGAGGCTAATATACAGTGAATCCCCAAAGTCAAAACCATCAAGAGAACTGCAGCCTTCCCCATAAGAGGGGGAGGTGTGAACAGTGCAGCCCCTGCCTGCAGCTGACTAGAGAAAAGGTCCAGAGCAATGCTGGTGAGGAAAGAAGCCTGAGACCACAGCTGGAAAGGGCAGAAACATCTGGAAAGTCCCAGTGGGTGCGATAAGAGATGCTTTCAGAATACACTGGCGCCAGACGCGCATGCCTCTAATCCCAGCACTTGGGAGGCAGAGGCAGGTGGATCTCTGTGAGTTGGAGGCCAGCCTGGTCTACAGAGCTAGTTCCAAGACAGGCCCCAAAACTACAGAGAAACCCTGTCTCGAAAAAAAAAAAAGGAAGCTTACTACACTAGCTACTAACGTCAAACATGTGATGGCAGCCCTTGAAAGTTGCAGTCTAGACTGCACCTAGTGAGGACCTGGGTGCAGGGGTTGCAGACAGGTTGGTGGGTAGGTATCCTCCTGTCCCCTCCCCATAGCAGGCACCAGGAGCATTCTGCCGCAGTACCTGTCCCTAAATGTCCACAGACTTAACTATCATCCCAGGGTCTGGACTGGCCTTAAGTCTTTGGTTCTGAAATTTAAGTATCAGAGCTGGGAGGCCAGAAACACACTAGCTGCCACCTCCTTATCCTGGGAAGATGAAACGGGGCCAACATCCCCCCAAAGCTGGTTAATGGCAAGAGCCCAGATTGGAGGACCTGTCCTTTTCTGCCTGCTCCCAAAGACACTGCGGTGTCACCTGGGCCCCTTGCTCACCCCTGCTCCACTGACCAGCAAAGGCAGGGTCAAGAGTCTGCACGGCTGTCTCCTTCATGACTCCAGCCACACCTTGGCCCCACTTTGTCTTTGGGGACGGTCTGGGAAGACGATCTGTCTGTCCGCTGGACGACAGCTGCGACGAAGTGTCCAGTGTCCTCTCAAGTGACGCTTCTGAGGCCAAGGGGTCAGAGTACTGCTCAAAATCCTCAGAGTAAGCCAGGCTGGCCTCGAGCACAGTGGGAGTCTCCACAGACGGCACGCTGGACACACTTGGGGACTGGACAGCTTCGGCAGAACTGTCACCCAGGTGCTCTGAGACTTCAGTGGCAAGGCCCTCTTCCTCAGCAACCACAGTGACCACACCCTGAAATGCAGAGCTCTTGTGCCGGGCAGCCCTCTGCTCTTCCAGCCGAGCGGGTGACATGGGTGGAGAGCTTCTGCCTGACATCCCTTCCCCCTAAAAGGAGCAATGGCAGCAGAAGCGGAGGGAATTTTAGAAAGGTTAAAAATGCCCCTTCAGCCAGGCCCAGCAGCGTACATCTGTGACCCAGCATTCAAGAGGGGATCACGAATTCTAGGCTAGCCTGGGCTACATGAGAACCTGTCTCAGAAAACCAAAAGTAAAACTAAAGACCGCTGTGGTGTATCACACTTGTATTTCATCCCTCGGAACACAGAAGCAGGAGGACTGCTCCATCTAAGGTCATGCCTGGCTACAGAGTGAGACCCTACCCGATATCCCCAAAGAAAAGAATTAAAAGTATTTTTTCTGTGGACTGGAAAGATGGCTCAGCAGGAAGAGTCAGCACAACAACCTGAATGAGATTCCCTAGACAACATGAGGGTGAAGAGCAGAACCCCACAGCGTACACACACACACACACACACACACACACACACACACATACGCATGCGCGCACATATACACACTTGCCTCCAGAAACACATAATTAAAAAATAAAATAAAAATACTCATTAAAAGCCAAGTGGTGGGCTGGAGAGATGGCTCAGTGGTTAAGAGCATTGCCTACTCTTCCAAAGGTCCTGAGTTCAATTCCCAGCAACCACATGGTGGCTCACAACCATCTGTAATGAGGTCTGGTGCCCCTTCTGGCCTGAAGTCATACACATCGACAGAATATTATATACATAATAAATAAATATTAAAAATAAATAAATAAATAAAAAAATAAAAGCCAAGTGGTGGTGGTGGTCCACACCTTTAATCCCAGCACTCGGGAGGCAGAGGCAGGTGGATCTCTGTGAGTTTGAGGTCAGCCTGGTCTACATAGTGAGTTCCAGGACAGAAAGGATTACATAGTGAGACCCTGTTTGGTGGGGCAGGGGGTAGTGGTTCTCATCACTTCTTGTTTTTTGAAAAAGGGTTTCTCTATGTAGCTAGCACTAGCTATTGTGGAAGCCACTGTGTAGACCAGACTGGCCTCAAACTCACAGAGATCCTCCTGCCTCTGCCTCCTGAGTTCTGGATTAAAGGAGTGTCCACCAGACCTGGCTTGATCACTTTGTTTACAAACATTATTATTACATTTAGTGTGTGTGTGTGTGTGTGTGTGTGTGTGTGCATTCGCACACCACCTATCTGCACGCCTATCTCCTCATCCTCCTGCTATTATTAATTCCAGGATATATTAAAGAGCAGTGTTGAGAGGACGCACCCCTGCAACACTCCTACAGTTGCCTTAAACGCACCACATAGTTCTCCACAGATGCTGACTGATGGATTTTCGCTGGGTACCTGTAGAACCTCACTGTTTCCTGCAAATGCTATCAACCCTCTCCGAAGTGGATGTAACATGAAAGTATCTTCCTGCCAGTTGCCTCAAAGTGAAGATCTGATCCACTGTGCTCCTGTTAGCTCTGAGTCCGCACTGGGCCTCTGCCCTCCATCCTCTGCAGGATAATGGAGGAGATCTTGCTGCTATGGCACAATAAACTAATGCCCCTGTAATCTGAGTAGCCCAGCATTTCGCTGACAATACAGCACTACTTGCTGAAAGTCCAAATGAGCTTCAGGCCATGGTAAATGGTCAGTGAAAACCTTGGTGTGAAAGTAAACACTGAGAAGACTGAGATACATGGGAAGGGGCACAAGGACTTTAACATTGTAATAAAGAATCCGAACCTCAGGAAAACAGACAGCTTTGTCTATCTGGGAGGAAACCTCAGTCCAAAGGACGGAACTATTTCAGATGTCAAGAGGAGGACAGGGATGGCAAGGGCTGCATTCCAGGCTCTGGGAAAGGTTTGGTCAGCAAGAGACGTAATGACAGCAACAAGATTACAAGTATGTGAGACCTTGTCTTGAGCTGACTTCTTTACAACTCTGAAACCTGGACAATGAACGCTCCTCAGAGCAGCGGTTGAATGTGTCTGAGATGGCGTGTCTCAGGAAGATTCTATGTGTAACACAAAGAGACAGGCTGTGCAACGATGACCTTAAGAAACATTTCCAGCTACAGAAGTAAACTACAGCGCTTGAGATACTTCAGCCATGTTATGAGAATGGATGACGACAGATACCCGAAGACAGCACTGCTTGGAGGAGTGCACGGGATAAGGCTAAGAGGAAGGCCTAAAAAACACTGGATAGACAGCATAGAGGAGGACTGTGGAACCTTGGGTGTGACACTAACACAAGCATCTAGGACTGCCCAGGATGGGAACAGCTGGAGAACCGCCATAAACGGGCTGCTGGCATAAATAATGATACGTGCAAGTGAGCGCACCCGTGTTAGTGTGTGTGTGTGCGCGCGCATATGCAAGTGCACATGGTATTCAAAGTGTGCAAATGTGAGCTCATGTGTGTAATATAGTGCATACATATAAATGTGAGTGCACGTGTATTATTCTGTGTGTGCACATTCGAAAGCATGCGTATTATTTAGCGTGTGTGCACATGTAAGTATATGTGACAGTCTGAGGAGTCAGTGGGAACTATGGATTGAACTCAGGTTGTCAGGTTTGAGGCAAGCACCTTTACCCGCTAAGCATCTTCCCAGCTCATGGGGTCCCTTCTGGACTTAGTGTCTCTTTTCTCACTGTCTTTGTTTCTTTTCTTTTTTGTTATTGTTTTTCAAGACAGGCTTTCTCTGTGTAGCCCTAGTTTGTCCGGGACCTCACCATGTGGACCAGCGACCTCAAACTCAAGAGATCCATCAGCCTCTGCCTCCAGAGTGCTGGGAATAAAGATGTGCACCTCCGCCACCCTCTGGCTAAACGGTGGAACTTGTGACACGTGAGTCAGAACAGTCTTTAGTGACCACTGCAAAACAACTGAGCGGTTTCCCTGGCCTCTACCCGTACAGATGCTGGTGCCCCAAATTCAACCAACAGGTCTCTAAATGTTGCCAACGACACCAAAGGGACAGGACCGCTGTGGCCAAGCCCCGCAGCCTAAACAGAACATTCCAGCTGCGAACTTGCTGCACTCTAAATGACTCATGGAGCACCGCTGTGCTCAGAGGCAGATCACCTGCCCAGCGCAGGCCCCAGCCTGGGTCTATTCCCCAAACTACAAAACAAGTAAATAAGGGCTGTCGCGACAGCTCTGATGAGACAAGCATTCAGCAGTCTGCGTTGTGTCCCTGGGACTCACAGGGAGAAAGGAGAGGCCCACTTTACCCTCTGTGCCGTGTGTGGGCTGTGGTGCACAGTGCGCATACACACAAAACAGGGAAATGTGTGGCACACGCCATTAATCCCAGCACTGGGGAGGCAGAGGGAAGAGGATTGCTCTGAGTCTGCAGCCATCCAGTTGATAGAACTCTGGACTGGTCAGGACTATAGACCAAGAGCCTGTCTTACAAATACATACATAAATACATATGTACATACATACATACATGATAAATCAGTCCAACAAAATGACCCATCATACTTACTTTCTGTTCCACATCTGATTTCTCTCCATCAGCCAGAACCAGATCTTCAATGGACAAAATATTAATTCTAAAATCTGTAATTTAAAAATAAGTGCACTGTGAGATGGTGAGCTGGCTCAAGCGGGTAAAGCAGCCAAGCCTGACAGCCAGAGCTCAGTCCCTGGGACCCGCAGAGCAGAAGAGAGACCAACCGCTACTTGTCCTCCATGCCCTACGGGCCCACAGCAGCTCACAGCCGTCTGTGATGGGATCTGGTGTGCATGCAGACCGTGAACCCACAAAGAAAATGCATAAATAAGGAAATCTTTTAAAGAAAGAAAAAGAAGCCAAGCAAGATGGCGCTGGCCTTTAATCCTAGGCATTCAGGAACTGAGGCAGGTGGATTTCTGAGTCCGAGGCCAGCCTGGTCTACATAGTGAGTTCTAGGACAGCCATGCTATGTTGAGAGACCTTGTCTCAAAAAGAACAAAAGTAACAACAAAAAATCATGAATCTGGGAGAGGAATTGATGGGTGGGGGAGACAGTCCCAGAATGCATTGCACACGCGTATAAGATAGAACAAAACTACAAAGTTAGCACAGTGGCATGAAGAACATAGCCAATTACTAAATGTCAGTTCTGGCTGGGTGGTGGCGCACACTAATCCCAGCACTTGGGAGGCAGAGGCAGGCAGATCTCTGTGAGTTTGAGGTCAGCCTGGTCTGTACACAGGACAGGCTTCAAAGCTACACAGAGAAACCCTGTTTCAAAAAAAAGAAAATCAGTTCTGCCCCTCGAAGTTCCTCAACAGAACCATCTCCTGCCCTTCTTCATCCCACCCAGTGACAATATGACAAAGCGGCAAGACACCCCTGCCACACCGTCCCCAGAAGTCTAGAACCCACTGCCAGGTCAACTTCTGTTCTCTGAATTATCTAGTCTGGGATGTAGTCCCGAGGTACAGCACTTGCCTAGCATGCAGGAGGACCTGAGTTCAAAGACCAGCACTGCTAAATGAACCCATTAAATAAATAGCCCAGGGTCTGGACTGTTCCTGAGACAGGGTTGCATATAACCCAGGTGGGCATTAAACTCAGTAGGCACCTGAGGGTGACCATGAAGCCCTGGTCCTCCTGCTTTCCCCTCTTCTGTGCTAGGATGACAGATGGGCACCACTATCACCAACAACAACCACAACTTTTCTTTTTTAGATGTATTTATGAGTGTTTGTCTTCACGTTTGTGTGTTTAATGCCTGCAGAGTCCAGCAGAGGGCATCAGATCCCCTAAAACTGGAGTTATACGCAGTTTTGAGCCACCATGTGGGTGCTGGGAACTGAGCCTGGGTCTTCTGCAAGAGCAGCCAGAGCTCTTAGCTACTGAGCCATCGCTCCAGTGCCACCCACAGCTTTTGAGTGTTTCCCTTTCTCTGACAAAGGGTAGGCTATGAGAGAAGAACAGACTCAGGCCCAGGCCTGGCACACAGGCCCGCCTTCTTGACACTCAGTGGGAGTCACCCATTATCTGTTAGCTATTATCTCAATGATACAAGGACTGCATGTCGTGCCCGGCTCGACCTCCACAATGCTGCTCTAGTGGCACTGAGAGAAAGATTGTCAACCGACTGACAGTGCACCCAGGCCTGCTGCCAGTGTGACAGGAATGCCACCCACTTACCCCTGCCCACCGCAATGCCCTGGGACAGCAGGGGGATGGGTTACCATGGAGACTGTCATCAGCAGCTTCTGAGACTGACTCCTCTGAAGATCCCACCTCACTCCTGCTGGGGGAGGAAGCCAGTTTGATGCACCCCATCTTTGAAGATGCTGACTTTGAAAGGTCATTTGTGATGAAAGGTGAGGATGTGAGGGAGGCTGTGTCCCCAGCATTGAGAGTCCAGGGGGCGTCTAGCTGAGGTGAGGGATGAGAAGGCTTTGAACTGGACGGGTCCACAGAGAGCAGAGACAAGACTTCTGGCTGAGCTGGCGGCGGGTCCTGCTTTTGTAAAAAGAAAGGGCTGAAGTCACCAACACAAACAACATAAATTCTTACCATTCCATGGAGCGGTAATGACCAGCAAGATGGCTCAGGGAGCAAAGGCGCTTGCTGCAGAGTCTGAGGGTTTCAGTTCATTGGGACCCATGTGTTGTCCTCTTAGCTCCATGTACGCATGCATACAAACACACTTACTTGCAAATAAATAAATGTTTAAAAAAATATATAGCCAAGTGATGGCGGTGCGCACTTTAACCTCAGCACTACGGGAGGCAGAGGCAGGTGGAGTGAGTCTGAGGCCAGCCTGGTCTACAGAGCGAGTTCCAGGACAGCTAGAAATGTTATGCAGAGAAACCCTGTCTCGAAAAACAAACAAACAAACAAAAAATTCTACTCTAAGGGACAATGACAAGTAAAGTACCTGCCACGTGCGCACAAAGATGTGAGTCTGACCCTGAAATGTGGGTGTGGACACTTTTCATTCCACCTCTCGTGAGGCTAACACCAATGGGTCCCTGGGACCACTGGCCAGCCAGTCTGGGCTCATCAGTGAGCCTCAGGTCAGTGAGATCTTGTAGGGACAGCCAAGACTGACCTCTGAATTCCACACACCTGCACACGTGTGTCATACAGTTACACATTTGGATGATCACGGGGTTGGGCATGGCTGAGAAAGGAGGGTCTCGGGTTCCGAGTTTCTTTCCTAGGTGCGGATTCTGCACCCAGCCTAGCTAGCTGATGCAGGTACAGTCAAGGAGGGGGCAACTGCACCCCGTTGGTCCCACCCAGCTCAGCGAGGGTGAGCAGATGAAAGAGCCCTGGAGAAGGCAGCAGGTATCAAAGCAGGGCCTAGAACCTTCCGGAGCTGAGCTGCACCAGTGCCTCTTTGAGTGACAAGCATCTTCAGTCACCTGACACTTGCTCAGAGCAGATGCAGGGACTTCCAAAGTGCTTCAGCACGGTTATGTCTGGTACCCACACGGTGACAGAGAAAACATCGTGTGACAGCCCAAGCCTGCACACGTGACAGAGTGAACAAGGGGGATAGGACTGAGTCAAAAGTATGCTGCCCAGATGCACACCTGTAATCCCAGTGCTCAGAAAGCAGAGGCAGGCAGCTCTCTGTGAGTTCGAGGCCAGCCTGCTCTACACTGCTAATTTCAGGACATCCCAGGGTACGTAGAGACCCTGTCTCAATAAAAAACAAAACAAAACAAGCCGGGCGGTGGTGGCACATGGCTTTAATCCCAGCACTCAGGAGGCAGAGGCAGGCGGATCTCTGTGAGTTCGAGGCCAGCCTGCTCTACACTGCTAATTTCAGGACATCCCAGGGTACGTAGAGACCCTGTCTCAATAAAAAACAAAACAAAACAAGCCGGGCGGTGGTGGCACATGGCTTTAATCCCAGCACTCAGGAGGCAGAGGCAGGCGGATCTCTGTGAGTTCGAGGCCAGCCTGGTCTACAAGAACTAGTTCCAGGACAGGCTCCAAAGCTACAGAGAAACCCTGTCTCAAAAAACCAACCAAACAAGCAAAAAACAAAACAAAGAACAAGAAACTCTCCCCTCCATGTAGGCTCACTCTTGTAGTGCCCAAAGGTAGCACTCAAGGTGCAGGGGAAGCGGGACCTAAGGTCCTGCAGGCTGACGACAGCAGCTCTAGGCAAGACCTGTCAGCTGCGGGGTCAGTGGCATCAATCAGCTTCCTGACTGGACTTGAGGCCCCTCCACAGGGGTCACCCAAGACTGCTTCTTTGAACTTACTTTGAATCCGGGCCCAGAAGAGTCAGGCTTGGAAAAATCAAGACATCGAGAGCCATGCTTTGGTATCGCTTACCCTGGGCTACGGTCATCAGCTGTCTTTCGGTCACTTCTGCTCCTTAAGTGTCCCCAGTAAACTCACTCATTCTCCAAGCTAGATTTAGTGCTGATTTTGGTTTCATTTGTCTCTGGCTCCGTCTGGGCTGGGATGTCTGGTCTCATCTCCCTGGCGATGGTGCCACACCACAGCTTGCTCCCACGGGCTAGTACAGCTTCCTCACACAACCCAAGACCACCCAGGCACAAGATTACAGTGGGCTGAGCCCTCAACATCAATAAACATCAATAAACAATTCTTCAGAACACAGTGGTGAGCCCATCTGATGTGGGCAAGCGTTCGACTGGAATTCTCTCTCCCAGGTGGCTTCTGGCTGTGTCAAGTTGACAAAGCCAGCTAGGACGAGGCACTTGCTGCTCTCTAAGGGGACCCGAGTTTGGCTCTCAGCACCTGCATCAGGCGCCTCACAACCCTCTCTAATTCCTGTCTCTGTGTCAGGAGCCAATATCCTCCTAAAATCATTACAGGAACCATCACCCTGGGGAGTCTGCAGAGAACCCCACACCCATAATTATGTTAAGAATCGTTCTATTGACAGAACCTACCCCCCACCCAATTAAGCTGTTAATGGAGAGCTATCTGTTAGCAGAACCTGCCCCACATTCCAAACTATCTAGAGAACTAGGTGTGTCAACTCGTGACTTCTTGGCTTATGTGACCTGACCGAACGCAACCTCCTGGCCTACGTGACCTGGACCACGTGGCGAGATCCCGTGCCCCTGCCCCCCAAGCCCCTCATCCAGGGGCTATATAAGCAGCAACCCTGTCTCTAATAAACGGAGGCTTTGACAAACTTAACATGGCCCCCTTCCTCTTTCCTAGCTCATATCTTATAGATAGTACCTCTCCGTGACCCTGGAGTAACTGACTGCAGGGTGGGTTACATCCCCTAGACTGAGTAACCCACCCAAGGCAAGCGACATCTCTGTAGGCACCTGTGCACACATGGGGTGTCACACATACAGACGCACATATATGCACAAAAGGGGGGGTCTTTGAGGTGTAGCTCACTAGCTGACCATCTGCTTGGGATGCTCAAAACCCTGGGTTCCATCCCCAGAATCACAAAAATTCTAAAACATTGAAGCCAACAAAAGAAAAGCTCACCGAAGTCAACTTTCCAGGATCGCTCCTTCTGGCTTTGGTGCCAGTGAGCACCCGGTTCATATTTGTTTCTTTCTCTCTAGAAGACTCCGTCAAGCTTCTGAGCAACATTTTCATTTCCTCTTCATCACTGTCGGGAGCATCACATTTTCCAACAGGTTCTTTCTGTCTAGGTGGTGGGACGCTCTTCCCTTTCTCCACCATGGGCTCCAGGGACCTAGCTTCCGTGGGCGGCTCTCTCCTCTTCAAAAACCTACTACCTTGCTCTCTTTGCCCATCGCTCTTTGCCATGGGGCTTTTACAGGCTTGTTTCTGGAAAGTTCTGTGTGGATGCTGAGAGGAAACATCAGACGCTGCGTCTGTCCCCTTCTGACTTCGCCGCTCGCTGGTCTTCGAGTCAGACTCCGTGTCAGACAAAGCTGTGGGCGCCTGCCTCCGACTCCGGATCTTGGTTTCAATCTGGGCCAGCTTCCGGAGGGCCTCATTGGCTCTGGTCTTGGAGGAGATAGTGGGGGGCCTCGAGCCCAACCTTGGCCCCCTCCCTGGCGTTGTCTCCTCTTTGGGCATCAGATATTTGTCATCCATCGTCTGGTGTCTCTTTAGGATTCTGTTCTGCCCCAGTGTCACTTGGCCGAGACTTCGGGCTTGGATGTTTCTCATCTTTTCCATCCTTGAGTCCTCTAAGGACATATCACTGAAGTCAAATACACCATGGCGAGGGCCAATGGGCCTTCTTGTGGAAGCCATTCTAGGAAAACCAAGATTGTGTTTTTAGTTTTTTAAAGTATTCATTTATTTTTGTTTCATTTTGCTTTTTCAAAACAGGGTTTCTCTGTGTAGCCTTCACTGTCCTGGAACTCACTCTGTATGTCAGGCTGGCCTTGAACTCAGAGATCCACCTGTTTCTGCCTCCTGAGTGTTGGGATTAAAGATGTGCACCACCACTATCTGGCTAAAAGTCTTTTAGTCAGCTGTGATGCTACACACCCTTAATGTCAGCATTCAGGAGGCAAAGGCAGGTGAACCTCTATGGGTCTGAGGCCAGCTGGGCAATAAAACTAACTTCCATTTCCCCAGTGCTAGCCCTGGGGACCTACCTAGCTTCAGGTGGCTCTTTCTTCTTCAGAAATCCGCTACCTTTCCCTTTTTGGCAGCCAGCAAAGGTTCAGCCAGCCAGTCAGAAAAGACCTCAAAAAAGACAAAAAAAAAAAAAAAAAAAAGTGGATGTGTACACGCTTGAGTGTATGTTTGTGCACGGTAGTCATGCAGGAGTCCTTGGAGGTTAGAAGAGAGGTCAGATCCCCTCGGTGCAGGAACTGAACCCAGGTCCTCTGCAAGAGCAATCAGTGCATCTCTCCAGCTCTTCTTTTTAAAAATTATCTTAAGAGGGCTGGAGAGATGGCTCAGCGGTTAAGAGCATTGCCTGCTCTTCCAAAGGTCCTAAGTTCAATTCCCAGCAACCACATGGTGGCTCACAACCATCTGTAATGAGGTCTGGTGCCCTCTTCTGGCCTACAGACATACACACAGACAGAATATTGTATTAATTAATTAATTAAAATAAAAAATAAAAATTATCTTAACATTTGATTGTGTTTTATTTATTTATTATTTGTGTTTTGTTTTGTTTTGTTTTGTTTTCCGAGACAGGGTTTCTCTGTAGCTTTGGAGCCCGTTCTGGAACTAGCTCTTGCAGACCAGGCTGGCCTCAAACTCACAGAGATCCACCTGCTTCTGCCTCCTGAGTGCTGGGATTAAAGGTGTGCGCCTCCACTGCCTGGCTCATTTTATTTATTTAGTGTTTGTGTTTGTACTGTGGAGGTCAGAGGACAAACAACAGAGCATTTGGGTCTCCGCTCTACCACGTGTGTTCTGGAACTAAGTTCACACCTTTCCAAAGTGCCATCAACTCACTGGCCGAATGAGGTTACTTATAAGACTCCCTTATTTTACTCGCCTGTGTGCCAAAGCTCTCACGTGGTAGAAAAATCACACTGCCTGATAGAGAACGAACACAGTTGTTTCTACACCCAAAGAGCAATAAAATCTGGAGTAAGTCATTCCAAACGGGCCCAAGTGAAACGGAAATGTATGAACATATTCATAGGTCATTCACAAAATACAAAACTGGGAAATAACTCAGACGCCCATGAACTAGTGTGCAAACCACGGGAGTAGGAAATACAGTGGCTAGGGCATTATTAACTTGTAAAACGGAGGGCAAGAGTCCTGGCTCAACCCTTGCCCACAACGACTTGAGTTTATTCTGAGAACCCACATGGTGGAAGAAGAGAACTGATTCCTGCAATTTTCCCTCTGACCAAACAAATAAATCTAAAAACTTTCATTGTATATAATTTTCAAAAAGTTTTATATATTCACGAGCGCGGGAGTACACGTCCGCAATCTCAGTACTTCGAAAGTGCTGCGCGCGGGAAGATCAGGAGTTGAAGGGCAGCCTCGACTACACAGGGAGCTCTAGGCCAGCCTGGGCTACCAGAGATGTGGACTAACATAACACACAAGATAACGGAACTAAGCAGTACACACTGTCCCTTTGGGAGCAATCCTTACGGGATCGCGGTCTGGCACGCTCCAACTGGGGAAACTGAGGTGCGGGGATGGCGCCCCTTTCCCGAACTCCCCCCGCAACCCCACATGCTCACTGTGAAGTCACCTGAGGAGCTGCGTCGGCCTCTTCCCGCATTGCCTGGCCGCTACGACAGAGCCTGGCTTTTGCCGCAAAGCACAGGTCCCGGGGTGCCGTTGCCCCAGGAGACTGCCCCAGGGCCACGGGAGACTACATCTCCCAACGTCGGACACCGCGCTCCACCCGCCAATGAGCGCCTCAGGTCATAATCGCAAGGCGTCACGGGAGTGGTAGTTTCAATGTGCACTCTCAGGGACCCTCAGGTCACAATCGCTAGGCATGACGGGAGTTGTAGTTTCTGGGTCGCGCCCGGTGGGCAGGGCAGACGCTTGAGAGCCAAAGAGCGAGATTCGCGCGCAAGGATGGCCCGGGCCCGGGTGTCGCTCTGGGTCATCTGCATGCTGCGCGTGGCGCTGGCCACTGTGTACTTCCAGGAGGAATTTCTAGATGGAGGTGAAGGCGATGGCCGTGGTGGCTGGCGTTCTCGTCCACCATCCGTGCTCATCATCCCTAACAGTGGGCAGCGCTAACCCTCCTGTCTCCCCACAGAGCGCTGGAGGAACCGCTGGGTGCAGTCCACCAATGACTCCCAGTTCGGCCACTTCAGAGTCTCGTCGGGGAAGTTCTATGGGCATAAAGAGAAAGACAAAGGTTAGTGTAGAGTGTGGAGCAAATAGAGCGGCGTTAGAAAGCCGCACGGCACCCAGGTGGTGCACCCACCGCTTAAGTCACGGCATTGAGTCACATGCAGGCTCTGTCCTACCTTGTACAGGTTTCCATTAAAATTGGTGGGGTTATTTTGGTTTTAGTTGAGACAGTCTCATGTAGCCCATGTGACTCCCAGCGGTTTTCCTGGGTCAGCCTCTCAAGTACCGGTTACTTTTTATGTATCCTATGTATGTTTGGGGAGGCTGTGTACCCTGAACGTTGGAATGACAACCAAGTGTTCAGGAGTCTTCTTGAGTACTGGAATGATAACTGGACCAGCAAGAACGACTGTTTTGGTACGTTTTCAGTAGTTGCCCAAAATTGCCTCATTTCATGAAAGTTAGAACAAGGCTGTGGCACACACGTGTGAGAAAAATCACAAGTTCAAGACCAGCCTGGCTATGTATAGTGAACTCTGGGCCAGCCTAAGATATAGTCAGATCTTGTCATAAAACAGACACAATCGAAATGAAAAATGGAGCCAGCAAGATGGGTCAGCAGGTAACGGAGTTTATAGCCAATCTTGATGACCTGAGTTTGATCCCCAGGACCCACAGGGTAGAAGGAGAGAATCTATACCTACAAGTTTTCCTCTGACTGCTACACATGCTCCCACACTACAAAATAAGTAGATGTAATTTTTACTTTATTTTTATGAGATATGGTCTCTCTTTGTAGCCCTGGCTGCCCTGGAACTCAGTGAGATCTGCCTACCTTACTTCTGCCTCTTACTTCCCGAGTGCCGGGATTAAAGGCGTGCAGCACCATCCTGGCTAATAAATGTAAACTTTAGCTGGGTGATGGTGGTGCACACCTTTAATCCCAGCACTCGGGAAGCAGAGACAGGGGGATCTCTGTGAAATTGAAGGTAACTTGGTCTACAGAGTGAGTTCCAGGACAGCCAAGGCTGCACAGAGAAACCCTGTCTCAAATAAATAAATAAATAAAAATAGAGAGATGCTGGCAGGAGGATTAAAGGTCGAAGTCATTCCTTAGCTACATAGCAAATCAAGGACAACCTGGGCTAAATGAAAGCTTGTCTGGAGAAAAAAAGATGTTTTCTCTGAGTCAGGTTCTCTCTAGGAAGCCCAGACTGGCCTGGTACTCCAGACTCTTCTGCCTCAGTCAGCCCCATGCCTGGTTCACAGGTATAAGTCACTATGCTGGGAAGTTTCATTTTGGTTTCTCGAGGCAGGGTTTCTCTGTATAACAGCCCTAGCTGTCTTGGAAATTGCTTTGTAGACCAGTTTGACCTCGAATCTTAGAGATCCACCAGCCTCTGGAGTGCTGTGGTTAAAGGCTTGAGCCACCACTGCCCGGCTGGGGAAGTTTTTATTGAAACATCTGCACCACAGATGAAATGCAGTCACAGCAGCTCATTTGCATATCCTTTGGATGCTACAAAGTAGCTCAAGAATTGAGACAGAGACCTGGTGACCTACTAGGTCTAAAATGTACCCCATCCAGAGTCCTCGGGGTGGGGCTCAGTCTTGCCTAGCATGCCCAGAGCCTCTTCACTACAGAAACGGTGTGGAGGAGAGAGCAGAAGGAAGGCGGTGGGAGGGGGGGATGTGGGATAGGGGGGCAAGAAAGGTCAGAACTTCCAGCTACAAGTTGCCAAGTTCGTTGTCTGGTGCAATCATGCTTGTTTTCTGTTGGAAGGCCTGCAGACAACTCAGAACAGCCGGTTCTATGCCATCTCTGCGAGCTTCAAGCCGTTCAGCAACAAAGGGAAGACCCTGGTAATCCAGTACACAGTGAAGCATGAGCAGAAGATGGACTGTGGCGGTGGCTACATCAAGGTATTTCCCTCCGACCTGGATCAGAAGAATTTGAATGGAAAGTCTCAGTACTACATCATGTTTGGTGAGTTCAGCAGGGAGGGCAAGCGTTTCCAGCCTCACACCGAGGCTCTGCCGACAGAACTAACAGAGTAGTATTGAACCTGTCTGACCCAAGGTTTGTAGCACTGTTAATAAACCAACACAGGCTGATGTTCTCGGGACTAAGAATCAAAAAGCCACCAGGCAGTGGTGGCGCACGCCTTTAATCCCAGCATTTGGGAGGCAGAGCAGGTGGATCTCTGTGATTCGAGGCCAGCCTGGTCTACAGAGCGAATGCCAGGACAGGCTCCAAAAATACACACAGAAATCCAAAAATTCAAAAAAGCCAAAGGACTCTGATTCTGAACCTGGGGTTTTTGTTTTTAATTCATTTAATTTACATGCATGTGTGTGCAACATGTACGTGTAGATGACTGCAGAGGTCAGAAGAGGCCATCAGTTTCCCTGGAACTGGAGTTACAGGTAGTTGTGAGCCATCATATGGGTGCTGGGAACAGAACCTGGGTCCTCTGCAAGAGCAGCCAGAACTCTTTATGGCTGAGCCAATCCTGCAGCTCCAGTAACTTGAGGGAGTCAGTTTTTTCCTTCCTTCATTTGAGTTCTGGGAATTGAATTCAGACCGTCAGGCTTCACGGCAAGTGCTTCACCTGCTGGTCATCTCACTTGCTGGTCCTCAACGTGACTTTGTTTCAAGGTGTGAGCGGAAAACATACATTTAAAGAGTGAGATGCTAGCCGGTCCATGGGGCACTCTTAATCCCAGCACTTGGGAGGCAGAGGCAGGTGGATATCTGTGAATTCAAGGCCAGCCTGGTCTATAGAGTGAGTTCCAGGACAGGTTCCAGAGTTACAGAGAAACCCTGTTTAGAATAACCAAAAACCAAAACCAAATCAAATCAAACAAAACAAAACAAAAACAGAAAAAGAGAGAGAGAGTGGGATGTTAATGGTGGTCATAAACACACCTCCCCATGGTAAACCCTGCATCCCCAGCACCTAGGAGGGAGGCTGGGAGATTGAGAGGCGGGATGCCAGCCTGGTTAAATAACAAGACCTGGCCTCCAGAGATTCAAAACAGTGATAAAGTCTGCGGTTTCAGTGGGGACACGGGACAGGTAAAGTCAACATACCTTCCCCAAAGTGACAAACTCTGGCTGCTGAAACAAGTCCAGACTGTCAGATAAGGGAGGTGGACTTTCTGGCCCCTTCTCAGAGTGCAGTAAAGCTTGAAAGATTCCAAGTGTGGGCTGGGGCTGCGCTCAGTTGCTAGCATGCCAGCTGCCTAGCATGCAGAAAGCTCTGGGTTTTCTCCATCCCTGGCACCTCAGAAAGCCGGCATCATCCCAGTTCTTGGGAGGTAGAGGCAGGAGGATCAGGAGTTTAAAGTCATCTTTAGCTACAGAGTTTATGGCCGGCCTGGGCTACAATGATACCCTGTCTCAAACCCCTCTAAAAATGTAGAAAATAAAAAAGATTGGGGAGATGGCTCAGGGGGTAACTCTATTTAAGTTTAAATCCCCAAAACTCACATAAAAAGCCAGATGTGACTGTGTGTGTCTGCAGTCCCAACACTGGGAGGTAGAGACAGGTAGACCCCTGATAACGCCTTAGGCTGGCCGTCTGGCTCGAAGGACCAGCTTCCGGCTCAGTCAGGGTCCTATCTCGAGGATGTAAGATGACAACTGATAGAGAAAACCTCAAGTCTTCCTTCTGCCCTCAGCATGTGCACACAGGCAGAGCATTCTACACGTTCATGTGTGTTGACAGAGGTTTCTGTCCCACCCAGTCCCTCAATAAACATGCAGAAACTACATTATTTGCAATCTTGTTTGACCAATAGCTTAAGCATATTGCTAGCTAGCTCTTACATCAAGAATTAACCCATTTCCGTTATTTTATATTTTACCCTGAGGCATGGTCTACCAACAAGGTTCTAGCTAGCTGCTGTGTCTTTCTCCTCTGGAAGCTCCGTGGTGTCTCTTTGACTCCGCCTTCTTTCTCCCAGTTTGGTCCAGTTGTCTCCAAAGCCACCCCCAGCTCTACTCTACCGTATCACAGGCCAAGACATATTCTTTTTGTTGTTGTTGTTTTGTTTTGTTTTGTTTTTCGAGACAGGGTTTCTCTGTAGCTTTGGTGCCTGTCCTGGAACTAGCTCTGTAGACCAGGCTGGCCTCGAACTCCCAGAGATCCGACTGCCTCTGCCTCCCGAGTGCTGGGATTAAAGGCGTGCACCACCACCGCCTGGCCCAAGACATATTCTTTATTCATTAACCAATACAAGCAACGCATATACAGAAGGACCTCCCACACCACGTGTGTACGCATCACACATGCAAGCATGAACGTGCATGTACACATATGCACACACACACACCTTGTGCTAAAATGATATAAATTCTTTGGGCTCCAATGTAGCCCAAATGATGAGCACTTGATTGGCTATTGTGAGACCCTCTGGAACCCACTCTCACCATTGTAAAAAAGCAAAAAGGCAAAACAGCACAAAATGCCTTAGCTCTTTTTGTGCTTTTTGTCTCGTTTTGTTTTTTGAGACAGGGTTTCTCTATGTAGCTTTGGAGCCTGTCTGGAACTTGCTTTGTAGGCCAGGCTGGCCTTGAACCTACAGAGATCCGCCTACCTCTGCCTCCCAAGTGCTGGGATTAAAGGCATGTGCCACCACCACCTGGCTTCTTTTTATGCTTTTTTAAAATTGCATTTTATTTTCTTGTATTTTTTTATTTGAATTAAATCCAAACATTAAAACGAGTGT